CTAGCCAAATTGGTTGACAGTAATTGAGGTCAAAGGTCAAGGTGGACAGGCGGTTACAGTTAACATATAGATGAACTGACACAGCCACAAGAGATGCAAGGTTAACTTTGTGTGAGAAACAACCAATCAACAGACTGTATTTTCTACTAACATTGACCTACAATAATGTACATAAAAATCTATAAATACGTGTTGATTTTTCGTAATAAACGATCTGTTGCCTGGCCCTTGTCTTCTGTTGTTACACCAATTGCTTAATGTGTCAGTACTCCCCAACAGTTCATTTAGTCGACTATCAGTCGATAGGCTCTCAAAAATGATCCTAAGTCTGGAAAAGAAGGACGGTTGTGCCTGTTCGGTATGCAGCTGATCCCGTAAATGAAACGAACCCGATGGTACTGAGATTTCAAAGGCTGAAACACTATTTAACACTAGAAACTCTTAAGAATGACAATAAAACCGTTCTGACAACTAATTTACTAGAGATGATTTATGTAAAATTAGCTTTTTCAAGCAGCTTATTGAATTCCAAGTATTCAGATGACTGTACAACCAGTTATTCTTTCAATGGACTACTAATGTCATGCGTCAAGTTCTTCGTCTTGTGTGCAGACTGAATTATATCAGTCAAATTTGCATTGTGGCTACCATGCCAGTAGATGGCTCGTCATCACGATGTACTCTAAATCGTTACTAGATGGTTGGAGGCAGTTAGCATGAAGACTTGGACCTGGATTTCGTGCTTGTTCGTACTCACCAGCAAAGCAGTAGCTGCAGTCTTGAAGGAGGTCAATCGCAAGCTCGAATTACTTAGTGGTAACATCTGTGACTGCAGCACAGCACAAGCTGACCTTGGTCTAAACCTCAGAGAGGATATGAGTTCCTTCAAGATTTCAGTTACACTTTCCTGCTGACTGTCTTCAAACCATTTAACAACAGTCAATAATTACAAACAAGTGTGCTGTATAATTAAAGTAAAACATTTTCTATAGTTGGTTTGTAAAGATTAGTTTTGTTTCTGCGAGTATGACCATGGACTGATATCAGTTAGAGAAGAATTGAAAACCAGCACTGGAGTACTGGACAATTCAAAATTCAATTGCCAACGCATAAATTCTAACTTCTACCAATTCGTGATTTAGCGCGACTGGCACTGTCTGATGCTCGCTAGTGACTGGCTACAGAATGGAGTTTTCTGGAGTAAGTTCTAGTGAGAATTCGTGACCAGTGAGGTTCAACCAACCAAATGTGAGGATGAATTTCCCACAATGACCACAGATTGGTTGGTGCCAGTCGCGTTAAATGCATCACGAAGTGGTAGAGGTTAGAATTCATGCGTTGATAATTGAATCGGGTCGGGTCCCAGTGGCTGAATGGTATATGAGCTAGCTTGCCATGTAACCGGAAGGTCATGGTTCTGAACAGCGGCAGTGGGTGTGTACTCCCGGTGATTCCCGAATTAGGACGAACGAAACAGCTGTCCAGTACCCCCTGGTGGTTTTCAATGGTTCTCTAACTAGTTTCATTCCATGATGAACTCGTATAAATTAAAACATATTCCGCCATTCAATAAGTGCAGATTTCACTTAGGTCTTTTTTGTACTATTTGGTGCTAATACTGTAAAGAAAAAGACCTATATGACGAACAGATAGAAGAAGCGTTGGTGTTAAATAACTATCCTATAAAATTCATTAAGAAGATCAGAAAAAGTCAAAATAAAAACAATTGGGAAACTAATAACGATAATATAAATTAGAGGGAATACAAGGCGTCTACAGTCCTACCATATAGGGAGGGGACATCTGAGACCCTCCCTACGTATGAGTCTTAATAAAGCAGGAATTACGCTGGTGACATTTAAACCTACAAACTCACTCAGGTACGACAAGCTCTGCAGGTAGGTTGAAGAACCCTGTAAGTTGATCCAATTACACAAAATAATGTAATTTACAAAATACCCTACCATGGCTGTGAGGTCAACTACATAGGTCAAACTAGTAGATCGGGAGTAGTTAGATTGTCTGTCAGAAGATAAGAATTTAGTGGCTAAGGTTAGAATGATTGACTCCGCGAAGACAGATGAGTAATTAAGAAGAAAGCTCAGCAGCGATTGCACTGCATGCATTAACACACAACCACACAATAGGGTGGGAGAGGGTGAAAATTCTAAGAAGTAATATAGGTAGGTAGGTGAGGAGCGAGAGAAGTTGATTACTGAATCCTTGTTCACCGAGTCTTCACCCAACACGTGCAATAAGAATGACTCATCACTCATACCAGAAATATTGAAAATACTACTACCAATCAAGTCAATCGATGAAAAGTAATGGAGTTATATAAACAAAGTTAGAAAGTTGTGTGAGTAGTGTCTTGATATGATTATGATCAGTAATAAATTGCGCTCGAGACGTGATCATCAGTAAATATTACTGTATAACACTCTGTGAGACTTTATCAAAATAGAATTTTACCTACAATGGAATTATACACCACCGCCACAGTGCACAAGTTCTATTCTTATGTCAAGTGCAGATTTCAGTTTCACTGTATTCTAAAACAGCTTTTGAGCTATATGAAACTCTCAAGGTTCCATATGTCCCCGTACAAAGTAAATTTATTCATTAAACATTCATATATACGTGGATATTTCTGTCATGTCACACAAATCAAACTAACTACACTCATTTAAATCAAAATGATGTTCCATCGCAATGCAACAAGAGGCATTTGCCGAAGAGTTTATGTATTCAGCGCTGTGATTCCCAAGCTGTAGAATGGCATGTCTATGTATATTTATAGGGAGAGAGAGAGGTAGAGGGGGGAAGAGAGAGAGACTGCACCATCATTGCAACAATGGGAATATTTCCAAAGATGTATTGTTAGAACGGCAAGTTTTAGATAACAATTACGCAATACAGGAATCAGTACTCAGGCATAAACTGAACTGGATTTTAAAGAGAAAATTGAATGACTTACTCTAACTGATATAGGAATGAGTAGAGCTCAGATTAAATCGAAACATGGTCAAGATCAGTATTATAAGAAGTACAAATTTAGTAGGGGGGGGAAGGAGAAATGTAGTAAGAAAAATTGTAAATTAAGGATTCACAAAATCATGTATGCTGGTCCAGTAAGTGAGTACAGTTCGTCTGCATTCAGAATTCAGGATTTAACAAGTGGATTGCCACAGCTGTTGCAGTTTGAGGAATTTTGGTTTGTACTCCTTTGACAAGACTTTGGCGAACTGTATTCTGTCAATCCCCTTGTCTCTTTTATTTTCTATTCTATGAATGCCTCCTGTATTGCGTAATTGTTTTCTTAAACTTACAATTTTAGTGACATATTTGAAAGCATTCCTCTTGTTCCTATAAAAATGTACTATATACACATGGAGTTTCACAACTTGAGAAAGATATGTTTCAGGATTTCATTACGAATTGACATCAGTTAGAGAAACATTGGAAAACTAGCTAGGAGCACTTGGCTGTCAGCTGTTTCGTTAGGCTAGACAAAGACTCCTCATCAGTACGCACCCACCCCAACACCAAAGTTCCAACCCAAGACTTTTCGATTACGAGGTCAGCTAGCTTGTAAACTATCAAGCCACTGGGACCCAACCGACCCAATGGTCCATAAGATCTTAATGAAATCCTGAAACAGATCAATCCCAAAAACCAACACTTCACTTGAATATAAATCTGATACTCACTAGTGACTGACCCTATTCAGGTAGGTACTTAGTTACGAGTTGGGTACAACAGGTGGTCGGGCACGAGGAAGAATACTCGCCAGCGATAACACTGACTAGTGCAAATCACGCTAGCAGAAGTTAGAATTCATGGATTGACTGGCTGCCGGATCGGTCGGATCCTAGTGGCTTAATGATCTACGATCCCCCTTGGCTCGTATCCTGAAGGTCCTGGGTTTGAACCTTGTCATTGGGTGTGTACTGACGAATGGTCCTTAACTACGCTGACGAAACAGCTGTTCAGCACTCCAGTGATAGTTATCCGATGGTTCTCTAGCCGATATCAGCTCCTGATGAGACCCTATAAACAATCAAATCCCTGAAAGCCTCCCTTTTTCACCTGACCTAATGGAGATTTTTAAGCTACAATAATATGCGTTAATTGGATTGAAATATTCTATGTAGGGATTCGGCGACCATACCACGTTGAAAGCACCGGTTCTCGTCCGATCACCGAAGTTCAGCAACGTTGGGCCCTGTTAGTACTTGCAACCTGGCTATTGAGAGCAGAAGACATGAAAAGATAAGCTGTCTTTGATCATAGGTGTCTGCGTTCTATCTCCCGCGTGAAGTGGTATAATAAGGTGAGCAATACTGAGGTTAGGCATCAGTCGAGTGGTAGGTAACGAGGGGAAAACAGTCGACGAGACTGTGAAATTACATTGACTGAGATGGTTAGGACATGTGCTACGTATGCCTAGTAATCGCCTTCCTCGACAATGGGCAATGTTAGCTGATATAGGGTCAGGCTGGAAAAGACCTAACGGTGATCTAACGAAAACATGGCACCAGACAATGAAATCTACAGCAGTCAGTCTAAGCCACTTAGGAAGGTGAAGACTACCTGGTTAGGGTCCTTGGAACGGTAAAACCAATGGTTGGAAACAATTGGTGACATGGCTCAAAATCGTTCTCAATGACTGGTGCAGATGCATCCACTTCTTGTGACTTATAACACCCAATGAAACTGTTTTGTTCTCCGTTATTACTATTCCTTTGTCTCACACCTCTGTTTACTGTCTATATTATGCATTTCTTCTCTTGCTTTGTGCGCTACAAGAAGGGAGTGTGGCGACTTGAACTGCCGTACATATGTGCAAAGTTCTAAGTCGAAAACCGACCGACCGACCGATGTAGGGATTCGCCAACTATCCAGCTGATGATTCCCAAATGGGACGAAACTCGCTTTATTGCTAGGTCAACAATAATCCAAAATAAGATAATAAACATTAATGTATATATATTACTTACCTGATAAACGGAAACACATTGTCCATATACCAGCTTGTAAATTCATTATCAACCATAAATTACGATTCATGTCCTCATCAGTATTCCCGTCTAATAAATCACCTTGTTCCACTAACTGAATCCATTCTTGTCGTGTAAATGTATACTTATTACGATTGAATAATCTTGGTGTGACTGGTGTTTCACGTAATAAATGCTTCGGTGTGTTACTATTGCTACTACCACTACTACTAATACTACTGAAACTATGACTCATACTACTGCTAGTACTACTGGTGTCCATTGAAGGAATATGTACATCTGAATGAACAACAATCCCAACAATTTCATTCATTTTATACGTCACTGTAAGACAATTCTTATAGTGATTTTTTAATTTCCGCCAATTTAATATTTTACCATCACGAAATATGATGAATTCCAGTGTGTAGTTGTGCTGATGTGGATGCTGCGGATGTTGATGGAGATGCTGCTGTTGCTGCTGTTGATATTGAGACTGACTTGTCCAATAATTTGAATCATCTAACATCATTAAATCATTCTGAGGATTTAGGAAAAGTGATGCATTTTTTTCATAACCACTGCTACTTATACTACTACTACTATTATTGTTAGTAGTAGTAGCAGTTATAATTGAACAATTCTGATAAATAGAAAACATTTCTAATATTTTAATAAATTTAAAATGTACATTCTCCCATTCCGGTGTCAATGTAGCCCCAACAAACAATAGGGCACCAATACATGGCATAATAATAGCTAAAAATAATGTTTTCCGATATACAGGATTTAATGGGATGGGAGTTCTGACCAATCGCCATCGATGCGATTTCTTCTTTTGTATGTACTGTCGGGTATAAAGATTCACCACAGTGGAATTATGATGTAATAGGTTGTTGTTGTTGATATTACTAATGTTATTATTCAAATTATTGATTGTATTACTGACTGTAGTATTATATAATCCAATAGTTGAGACGGAGCTTGAACGACGTGACTGTGGTGATGCGGGTTGAGTCAAGGAAGTCGTGTGCATATTATGCTTTCAAAAAGATTATTTTTCGGTAAGAATTATTGAGGGTTTCAGCATAACAATCTGAGCGTTTTTTTACTTTTAATCTTGTCAGTTAGACACAAGCAACCTTCAATACGATAATTTCAGTCAATCTTGAATATTGGTTGCTGCTATTTCCACCGATCATTGAATGTACAGTTACTTATATGCGGAAAATAGACAAATAACTGAGGGAGATAGAGAGATAGAGGGAAAGACAAGCAGATGATTGTGAGGTGGACAGATATACAAACACTAATACATACATACATACATACATGAAGCGATATGAAGACTTTATTGATTGTGTATATATTTTAAATCGGACAGACTAGATCGACCGACGGTCGACTCCTTTCTCAGTTCAACCCACCTACCTACCTACCTACCTATCTATCCATCTATCTATCTATCCATCTAAGCGTTCAGCTGTTTATTTTTTTCGATTCAATCATGGTGAAACGTGAATTGAAATTTGTCTTTTTTTGGAGGAGCAGGGAAAAGTGAGTAGGGAAAACTGAGAAGGAAGCAGAAAGGAGCTTGTAACAAATAGTAGTTACATTTGAAATGAACCTGATTAGTAGATTGGGAAATAGAAAAAAAGAAAGGATAATCTACATGAAAATTAAAAGACTGACTAACTGACAAACATTAAAGAAATAAATCAATAAATCAATAAAAAATGAAGTAAATAAGTTCACATTTATAATTGGCTTGATAAACAAGGTCAAATATATATATTCTCACTTCCGTCGCACTGTTTACCTACAACATCTATTTTGCCTGATTATATGACTCAGTATAGCAGGGTAGGAGGTAGATTAGAATAAACTCTTTAATGTAGGAAAAATGTAGGGATAAAACTATGCAAAAATAGATGGGGAGAAACAGGATTTTCTTTCCAATTCCTATGAGTTTTCTATTTATCCTTCACGTTTCCCAGTGGAACATAGGGCGCCTTCAAGCTAGTGGCTTGAAGTTTCTGTAGCAGTGTTTATTTTTACGAGGTGGGGTTACTAGCCTCATGCCCAACCTTTCCTCTTCACCAGGATTATTTCTGGCTTAGCGAGGTAAAGGAGTGTGTCCAGTGGCCGGGGATCGAACCCCGAAACATGTGCATAGTCGGCGAGCGTCCTAACTGCTATACCACTGACGCAATTCATATATGTTAAGAAATTATAAATGATGTCTGCCTGGGAGCTCATCATGAGATCCTGTAACCACTCATATCCCCGAAAAGCGACACTTGAATGTCAATCTGATGGTCACTAGCGACTGGTCGTATTCAGATAGGTGAGAAGTCATGACCAGTGGGGTACAGCACGTCGCTTGTGAGGACATGGACTGGCTGGCCATTAGATTGGCCGGGTCCCAGTAGCCTGACGGTCTACGAGCTAGATCACCTCGTAACCGTAAGGTCCTGGGTGGTTACCTACTGATGAGGAGTCTCAGACTAGCCTGACGAAACAGCCGGCTGTCGAGTACTCCACTGGTAGTTTTCCAATAGTTCTCTAACCGATATCAGCTCTTGATGAAAACCTATAACCAATGAAATCCATGCAAACCAATACGTGAAAAATGGTTTCATTGAAATGAGAACCTTTCATTAAAAATCAATAATTCGATGTTGTTATCTCTTTCTTACATGAGCATTAATGTTGACAAAGCTGTGTTGAACTGACAATCGATAACAAAAGAAGAAAAAAAGAGAGAGAGAAGAATAACAAAGCGAACAGTTAGTGTTGATCGACTAACTGACAGACAGATCATGCTGTAAAACAAGAAAAAATTCCCTTTTTATCCCTATCAAAATCAATAATATTTGTACAAGGGAAAACTATTCATGTATATGCAAGCGATTGGACAGGAAAAAAATGAAACTATATAGTAATAGTAATGGGACAACAGAAGGCAAGACACCGAGAGTCAGGGTATATTTTTCATTCATCAAACCGCTATTTATATATCTACAGCTTATATTCGTTAACCAATCACTGAGCGTGTGATTTCGGTTTACATCTAAACGACATGAAATAGAATGTTCAAATATATATAGTATTCTGTTGCCAATGCTGTACTGAACTGTGGGAATATTTGAGGATAATATTCCGTTGGTATACATTGTCTGCATCACACCACCATAATCGCCCCCCCTCATCAAATACTTTCGACTGAAGTTAGTCTGATTCTCTTGATGCTGGCGTCTTTGTTTGCTTGTCTTGCTGTCTTGAGTTCCGGAACTCGCTGACGTTCTTCCTTCCCTTCTCTTTGTTTGCACTTCTGATCGTATATATGACCCCGTCTCACGATGACTATGTATGGTCCTTCCCACTTTGGAAGCAGTTTGCGCGACACTGGTTGTCACGTATTCGCCGGCGTTCAACCTCACACTACCATATGCTGCCTTTGCCTGACCTTTCAGCAATGCTCCAAGTAATAACCTCTTGGCTGATGGATTTTGAACGCCATTCAACTGTGCGACAGCCTCGAATTCGTGCCAGAAGATCCATATGTCTCCTTCTTCAAAAACTACAGGGTATAAACTGTTCATTTGTTGGTAGGTAGCGACACCAGGTGTAACAACACCGAGAGTCAGGGTACATTTTTCATTCATCAAACCGCTGTCTATAATATATCTACAGTTTATATTCGTTAACCAGTCACTGAGCGTATGGTTTCGGCTTACAACAAACTATATGAAACTGAATGTTCAAATATACATAGTTCTCTGTTGTTAATGCAGTATATAGCCTTGGGAGGGAAAGTATTCTGTCTCCAACAGTAAATTATTATTATTCCCTTACGTTCCTAGTGGAACATCGGGATTCAACGGCAGATTTCCATTTTGTTTCGTTATCTGCCGTCCTCTTCAACTGATTCCACGAACCAGAAATCAGTATAAAATAATCTATTCTCGTACAACCAAGTACAGGAACTCAACGATATCATGCTTAGCCCGTGTTCTAAGTGACAGAGACAATGTTAAGCGCGAAACCTATGATTTGCTTTGTTGTTAATAACATAATTTTAGGCTCTTTTATTTCTCTCTTATTTTGTATTCTATAGTAAACTCCTTCTTAAACATACTTAGCTACCCAAATTATTAACATTGGCTTCCTTTTTGTACTTTACTCTATTCCTTCTTTTGTGTATCTACTGGTTCCGACTATATTAGCACTAGGAGTATTTGCGAAATTGTCCTGTCATTAACCATCATGTAATTATTAATTTTGTGGTTTTTTAATTTTTTGTCGGCAATATTAACTGACAATCTTGGTTGTGGAAGCCATTATCACCATCTTAAAATTTTGTATTATGCAGGATTACTCACACTACCACTACAAACACCGCATTAGACCTGATAAAAAAACAACAACCCTGAAATGTTATTTTATGATTGTTTAGAGTTGTTTCAACCAAATTAACTGACCATCTTGGCGATAAACATTCTTAAGTATCATTTCATAACTTCTTGTATGACTATAGCTTTACTGTCACCATGCATAATCATATCATAGCTTCCACTACCCAATACTGAGATATTATTAAATGCTGTTTATTTTCCTTTCTACTTCTTGGTATTTTGTTTTTGTAGTTGCTTTTCTGCTGTTTGCTGCTGACTACCAACTCGTTGCTTCCCAATGGGATTCCACTCGAGAGCCTAGCGTAGGATGTCATTCGGTGGCATCCTCAATGTATGCCCGATCCATCTCCAATTTCTCCAGCATATTCGTTGAGCGATCGGTTCTTGGTTGGTTTGTTCCCACAGTTTCTTGTTATCAATTATTTCTGGCCATTTGATCTTCAGTACGGAGCCGGCGAAGGCAGGTGTTGATGAAAGTCTGCAACCTCTTGGAAATCACTTTCGTGACACGCCAAGTTTCTGACTCCTATAGAAGAACCGACTTCACATGAGTGTTGAAAATCCGAATCTTGTTCCTTATGCTGAATGCGGCAGATTTCCAAACTGGTTTCAGGTTGATGAAGGAATGTGTAACTTGCCTTTCTAATTCTGACTGACTTTGACATCTTCATCCATTCCACCTGTAGTTGAAACGATGCTTCCCAGATAAGTGAAGGAGGCAACCTCTGTTAGATCTCTCCCTCCCGTTGATGGTAATTGGTGCTGGTTCGTGTTGCTGTTGATTGGTTGTCTTCATCACCTCCATCTTCTCTATGTTCACCTGCAGCGCTGTCTTTGCTGCCTATCACTTCTGCCAGTTTGTCGGTTTTCGCTTGCAAGTCTTTGATTTTGTGTGACATTAGACATATATCATCTGCGAAATCTAGATCTTCCAGGGTCTTCTTATCTGTCGTCCAGCGTATTCCTGACTTGTCTCACTCCTGTGTGCACTTCGAACGTCTCACTCAGTTTTCCATTGTGGATCACTTGACACGTGCCATTGTCATATAAACAGCTGTTGAATGAGATTGGCAAAGACTTGAGGTACACCGTAGTGTTGAAATAGTTTCTAAATTACTTCTCGGTATACGCTGTCTGGTGAAGGCCTCTTCGAAGTTGATGAAGTTTAGGTACAGGTTTCACTGCCATTCTATATTTCGTTCTGTGATGACGATACGTAGAGTTGAAATTTGATCAGCACATGATTTGTCTTTCCTGAATCCTGCTCGTTCCAGTGAGCTGGCGGAGGTCTGCACCCACTGCATCCTTTATTCTCTACAGGATGATGTGACTTAGTATTTTACTTGGCGTGGACAAGAGCATGATTCCACGCCAGTTCTTGCAGAGTTAGGCGTAAGTAGCCCCCTCTTTGGCAATTTGACGAGGTAGCCCTTAGTTTCCGATCAGTAGGCATCTTTCCTTCTTTCCAAACTTTTTGTAGTAATGAAGTGAGAACTTCTGCTGTAATCTCTGGTGCCGTCTTCAGTACTTCGGGAAGAATGCCGTCTCGTTCTGCTCTAACACCAAATAGACATATCGTATTCTCAAAAAATACCCATTTATCCATAAGTAAAAGCACAGTATTTTGTTCAGCGAAGAAATTTATTTTCAACGACTTCATTTTCAAGCTGTACAGTCGTATTTACGTTACAGAAAAGGTTAATCAGTGGCACTAAATAACTGCTCAGTCAATATACAAATCACACTCATTAAAGTATCCTACTTATTACGCAACTACAATACACTCATTCAACTTCTCTTTTG